GGACCCTGCGCGCCCCGGGCCGGTCCTCTGCGGTGTCAGCGCCGGTCTGAGCCCCGGACTCGCGCCGAGCAGAAGAGGACCGACGCTCGGCAGACTTCGGAAGCGGGAGAGGAGTTTAGAAAAACAAATGTCCTCCAGAAACTAAACACACCCACATATCCTACAGGCCTGGCCTCCCTCCTGCCCAGCTGTGCTGGAAGAGCCCTCTGCGCGGCTGGGGAGTCCCGGGGAGGGAGGCACCCTCACTCCGCCCCACCCCATACACGTGGGAACCGGGATTTAGCCCCGGGACTTCCTTTTTTGTTTTTGTTTTCTGTTCGTCTTCTCTCTCTCTCTCTCTCTCTCTCTCTCTCTCTCTCTCTCTCTCTCTCTCCACACACACACACACACACACTCCAAACTAAGTGGGGGAAAGGGGTGCGGACTCCCTTAGGAATGGAAACGTGTACCTCAAAATATGCCCTCTCACTGTTATTCCCCCCAAGCTCCACTTAGCAAGAATTTCATCTTGGACGTGATAAACCTTTGCGGAGACAGGTGTAATCTGATTTAAAACTACATGATGCAATAATATATTCAAATATCACCATTAATATGTACAAGTTTTATGTAGGAGCTAAAAATGTTAATAAAAATAATTTTTTTCTGTCCTTGACAAGCTGTTGCAGGGAGTAAAACTTTCAGTGCGGTTTCTCTTTCTTATTCATTCTGTACTCTCTTCACCCTGTCCTCTTACCACCTCCACCAGAGATTTCTGCCCTCCCTGTATCAAAATTGGCTTTCTGAATTTACACTGATGTACCATTGATGGATAGTAATCTCAGCTACCACCTTCTTTTTCCATTTTTAACAATGTCATTGCTTTATGATAGAAAGTTCATATTGTATATCTTACATACTATCTTGCAGCAAGCATCTCTTCCGTCTGTTACCATCAGTAACTTTTCATTTATATTACATTATCTATGATGCACAACCAAATCTGTCTGCCCTTAGAGGATCAAAACCACTTTAAGAATGATTTCTAAAGATTTATTGGGTAACCACCATGTTCTGGGCACTGTTCTAGTGAATGCACAGAACAAGATACTAAGCCACCTCTTTTATAAAGTTTGCAGTCTGGCCTCCATTTTTAATGTAATTACAATCAAAACATGATGTATCTTTAGCGATTGCTATTTACTGATACATGACAGTAGAAAACCAGAGGGGAAAAAGTTTGCCAGAAATTGAGGCAATTGGTTTCAACTTACAAGGGGACAAAAGGTGAAAAAACAGTATCATAGACAGCTAAGTTAGGTAGAAATATGTTAGGCTGTCAGACAGTGCTAGTCCCTCCCAGGAATCAGTACAGAAGATAAGAACACATTGCAATTGTGGCTGGAGGCACATCCCTTTAAGGCCAGGCCTCAAGATAAAGATGGAATGACTAGGCCTACACATTTCCCCCAGGGGTATAACATATTATATATGTAATGATGTATACTGTTGAGTATTATCTATTCCAATAAAACCTATATAGGCATCAGTCACCCAAGTGGATGACCAGGACCTCCTGTCTCATCTCTTCCAAAAATGTCCAAGTGTTTTCCATGTACACCTGTTACGTTGACTTGCTTTTCCATTGGATCTATAACACCTAAGCAGCTATACTTATAATCCTATTGGATGATCATAGTTTTGTCCCATGTTGTACCCACCTTATAATTTTGTACCCACCTCATGATTTTGCTCTATAAAGCTTCCTTGGTATTTTTTAATCACATGATACTCTATATAGAGGAACCCAGGTACTCCAACAAAAGACTTGTGGACTTACTAACCAAATTCAGTAGAGTGCTGGGTACAAGATCAACACTCAAAAATCAATAACCTTCCTGTACATGAATAACAAAATCACAGAGAGAGGATTTGGGGAAACAACTCCATTCACAATAGCATCGAAAAGAATGAAAATAGCTAGGAATCAATCCAATGAAGGAAGTAAAGACCTCTACTCTGAAAACTACATCATTATTAAAAAAAAAGAGAGAGAGAGAGATCAAAAAGGATATCAGAAAATGGAAAGACAACCCTGGTTCTTGGGTGGAAAGAACCACTATAGTGGAAATATCCATACTTCCAAAATTGCTATTTAGATTCAATGCAATCCCAATTGAAATTTCAACAGCATATTTCACAGAACTAGATAAAACAATCCAAAAATGCATTGGGAAGCAAAAGAGACCTAGAATAGCAAAATGAATTCTAGGCAACAAAAGCAAGGCAAGGGGTATCACAGTTCCCAACTTGAAATTGTATACTACAAAACTACTATGATAAAAACAGCATGGTACTGGCAAAGAAACAGATCCGAGGATCAATGGAACAGATTAGAAGGTACAGAAACAACTCCAGACATACTCCACTACCTCATCTCTGACAAAGAAGCCAAACACTTTTCACTGGAGGAAAGACAGTCTCTTTAAGAAATGGTGCTGGAAAAACTGGGTTTCAACTTACCAAAGATTTATCTTTCACCAGGCACTAAACTAAATTCAAAATGGATCCAAGATCTAAATATTAAAACAAAAAAACTAAACCAGCTGAGAAAGAGGTTAGGTAGAACTCTTGAAAACATTGGCATAGGAAAAGACTTTATGAACAAAATTGTAGTCACATGGGAACTATCATAAAGAAGCAACATCTGGGATCTTATCTTATTAAAAAGCTTTTGTATATCAGGAGAAACCACCAACAGCATGAAGAGGTAATCCAGTGTGCAAAAACAATTTTACCAGCTGTTCCTCAAACAAAGGACTACTATCTAGAATATATAAAGAACTTTAGAAAGGAGCTAAAGGTGTAGGGAAGGTGTGATGGGTAGGGGAAGAGAAAAAAAAAGGGAAAAGAAAAAAATGTGAGAGAATGAAAAGATGAAAATAAAGTGTTTGTAGATGGGGAGGGGAGGAGGGGGTGAAGGGAGGGCAGGGGTAAGGGGAAAAAATGAGAATCAAGACTTGCCATGTAGAGGTACATGATCCCAACAATGAAAGTAACTGTACTGTATCCCTAAAATGTACCAATGAACTCAATAAAATTAAAAAAAAAAGAACTTTAAAAAATCAGACTTCCCAAATTTGAAGATGCAATCCAAAAATGGACATCTAAAATGAATAGCCATTTCTCAAATGAAGAAGTAGAAGCAGCAAATAAAGATATGAAAGCATGTTCAACATCATTGGTCATTCATAAGATGAGTATGAAAACAACACTGAGATTCCATCTCATCCCAGAAAGAATGGCTGGTATCAAGAAATCAACTAATAACAAATGCTGTCGGGGCTGTGGGGAAAAAGGAACATTTCTCCACTGTTGATGGGAGTGCAGACTGGGGCAACCACTGTGGAAATCAGTGTGGAGATTCCTCAAAAACCTAGGATTAGAGATCCCCGTTTGACTCATTTATTCCCCCTCTGGATATATTCCTGAAAGAATTAAAAGTATCATACCACAGCAATATATGCACACCCCTGTTTATAGCAGCACAGTTTGTAACAGCAAAATCTTGGAAACAGCCCATCTGCCTCTTAACTGGTGATTGAATGAAGAAGATTTTTTTGTTTGTTTGTTTGTTTTGTTTGTTTTACAAAATGGAGTACTACTCAGGCATAGAGAAAGATAAGCTAGAGACATTTATAGCTAAAGGGATGCACATTAAGGCCATACTCTTAAGTGAAATAAATAGAACACACATAGATAAATACCGAATTGTTTCTCTGCTGTGAGAAACTGAAAGTATAAATAAGGACCAAAATTTATAGTAGATATTGTGAAATAGGAAGACAGTATTCAAAGGGACAGGGAAACTGGGGGAGAGGGGCAAAGGGAAGAAGGGAAAGAAAAAATGAAAAAAAGAAGGAAAGATGAAAACAAAGCTCTTGTAAATAGGGAGGGGTGGAGGGG